ATTTTTTAAGCAAAGTCAAAGTGAGAAAAAAAGGGGTAAAAAAAAGCACTAAATTTTCAAATGTCCATAATTTGGTCAATTTTTGTCGGATTTCGTTCTAGTTAGGTAGGGGAATTTACGTATTCTCGTCAATCTAAGCAGCGTCCGCACTTCTATTAGCATTTTGTCAGCGTTACGCACATATATCACGTGTCTGTTTGTTAACATTCATCTGCTGCTTGCTTCTCTATCCATTCCAATCGACAAAATTTTTCAAACCGGTTTGAAAGCGATTTTACAACGCTCCAAACTTTTCAGGTGAGTGTGACTATTGTCGGCAGCCTCTTTTTCTTCGGCAACCTTCCCATTAGAACTGCGTGTTAACCAGCTGTTCTATTATCGCCAACTCGAAATCAGCCCCATTTTGTAGTGCGTATACTTCATTTGAAGAAAAATCTGCTCTGCTATTATTGCTCGGTCGTACAAATATAATCAGATTGAAGCTGAAAGACTAAAGAATCGTTTGAATACATTCAGGGAAGTGTGTTGATGGGAAAACATAGTGAAATTATCGTTTAAATTTTGGTTGCCGAAAACAGTCAATGGGTGCCGAAGCCAACATTTACCCTATAAGCCATAGGGAATATTATCAACTTTAACCACAATAAAAAAATTTCATTTCAGTTCACCACCAGAGGGTGTGCACTCGAAGTTCTGCAGCAAAACCTGACTGACACTCCTCCACGCGAGCCGCCATTTTGAGCCGCCATTTTGTTTTTTTACCTTCAAAAAATTTCCAAGTATTCAGGAATAGTGGACAAATATAATTATCGAAACCGGAAGTTCGTATGTCTTTTCATTCTCCTGAAAAAAAATTCCAAAGTTCAACTGTTTTTCAGCCAAATCCAAGTAAACCTCCCCTTAAGGTTAGCATAGAACACTTCTGGGATGTCCAGACTTTCCAGGGATAGTTAGTGATTTAAGGCAAAGTGCCGTGAGCGTTTATAAACTTTATAAAACTTAAGGAAAATTGTAGGACTTAAAGGCAATGAAAACAATTGCAGTAAAATTGTGGGTTCTTTTTAAAAAATACTAAGATCTTCAGGGCAGTCTAGAGCATTTTAAGGAAATCGAGAAATATTCTGGGCAGTATAAAAAACATCAGGAATTAGTTTCGATAATTTGAACTTCAGACAAACCTTGAGAACTTCAGTGGAAATCATAGAAGTATATTAATCATTTCGCCGCAGAAGCTTAAAGAAGTTCCTGAAATTTCAGAATAACTTCGAAAACTTCACAGAAGTACAGAGCAGAGTTGAAAAAATCATGAAAAAATCACCAGCATTCACTATGAAATGAATTTTTCGTCCATAGTGAACTTTGATGAATTTTAGTGATTTTTTCAGCCCTGGTACAGAGATCTTCAGAAACATTTCGAGAACTTCATAAAAGTCTATGGAACTTAAGGGAAGATCCGAGAACTTCAGGAACTTTTATGGACATTTCGGGAGCATCTCAATTAAGTTTGGTTAAGCTCCAAAAACAAAGGGAATTTCAGGGGAGTTCAGTTCCATTAGTTTCACTAAATTAGCGGGAAATTTCAAGAACTTCCCAGATTTTTAGAGAACTTAAGAGATGTTAAGAAAATTATTGAAGTTTTCACATAAGTCCAGAAGTTCACGCAAGCTTAGAACAGTTCAATTAAATTCATGGTAGTACAACAGGCTTCATTAGAACTGCAAACACTTAAGAGAAGTTCCGAGAACGTCGAGAAAGGTATTGATCCTGCTAATAAAGCACTAAACGAGAAAGAACCAATATCTTCAGAGTAGAGATATTCCAGAGCAGGGAAATTTCATAAATTTTAAAAAAAGTTTCGAGAAATTCAGTGAATTTTTAACACTTTAGAGAAGATTAATAATCGTTAGGAAAATTTTGGAAACTTTAGGAAGTCCGAAAAAGTTTAGAGAAGTTTAAAAAAATTATGAGAAGTATTGCAAGCATCAGGCTAGTTTCTCAAACTACAACAGAACTTCAAGGCAATTTAATTACCTTCAGGAATATTTTGGGAACTTTTAAGTAGTTCTGAAGAACTCAGAATAGTCCATTCCATATTCAACGGAGATTTCTCATGAAAATTCGCTTGGAGTTTACTATCTTAGGCTTAGGCTTCACATGAAGTCTAAAATTTCTCAAAACTACCATGAAAGCAGATTGCAGTTGATGTTTTTCCTCAAAGATTTTTTTCCCAGATTAAATAAAATTCCATGAGCCTTAAAACTGTGCAAGGAATTTGACTCCAGATTCTTGAACATTTCTTGAAGTATTATAACTTTGCGGTTCAGAATTTATAAAATTTGTAGGAAATATGCATATTCTAGAACCAAAAAAAAAAAATCATTCGAAGCCTCTGAGTTTTAAAAATGTATTTGTTACTGAAGATTAATACATTTTGCATCTATAAAGTTCAATGTGTGAATGAAAATAACTACAAATATTAATTGTTTTTTTTTTATTTTAAAATGCATGCTTAGTAAGAAAATTATTAAATTTCTTGAATAATGATAAGGTTCCCTGAGACTTCAAGGTATTTTCAGGAAAATTAAAATTCCCTGAGAACTCCCGGTTTTTCAGGATTTTCCAGGTAGTAGAAGCTTGGAGGTTTAGTCATAAACTTTCTATTGAATCTTTCGCTTTAAAGGTTCCTATCGTACATATTTAGGTGTTTATGGGAATCTAATTGAATAAGTCTAAAACATCAAACATTTACATATTTTGTATGCCATCAGAACGACTAATTTTCTACCCTTGGGTCACTTTTAGGTCACTTTCTTTACAACCATAAGTCACTATTTGGTCACTTATTTCTTCAACATGGTCACTAAAATCACTATTTTTGACAGCATTGATCGCAACCAACCCTGTAATGACTCGTTTAACCTAGTGATCCCTTCGGCTCAATCGCATTTTAAAATTTCCATGATTTCATAATTGAAAAATTAGGTGTGAGTAAAATTGAACGAATTCAATTTTATGAACATGGTTCATTGCCCCTAATGAATAATTAAGCAAAGTTTCATGAATTTCGGTGAGAGAAAAATAAAATCGATTCGTCAGTTGGCGTGGAACTGCTCACCAGTGAAAGAATGATAAATTTAGTTGGCGGTAGCTGTCGAACAGGTAGGAACAAATCAACCTGGAAAAGCTTTCCCATAGTCGTGGGTGGGAATCAGCGACGTTCGTTTGATGGACGAAATTCCAGCAGATGTTGCCAGTCGTTGATCGACATAAATCCTCTAGCGGCGTTCCGGCTGACCTACACACAGGGAGGATGAAATATACCCATTGGGTTATCAGCGTGGAAGACCAATTAGTCAACAGTTAAGCATGACGACGACGACGTCAACGACGCCGGACTGTATCTATCTGCCAGGGCTCTCCAAAGTCAAGTCACGCGCTGATGGGTGATTGGATTCCATACTGAGCTACCTCGAGAGGATTGATTGCTCGTTGAAGAAACGACGATGATGAGGATGAGGGATTTGCACATGCTGTTCCCATCGAACGCCTTCGACGGTGATCGTTCACTCGAGTGATTGAGAAGCAATCAAGTAGCAAATAATGTAGTAAGGTACTTTCATCAGCAAACAATGTAATCGGATAATTGAATGCTTGAGGATCTTCCTATTGATCTTGCCCTTACGCTTATTTGGAATATGCAATCAATTTTGAGGAAACGGTCAAGCAGAAGATCCAACCACAACGGTCTGAACTACGATTTATAAATCTACATCCAGCTGGACGCAGAAACCTGCTCAACACGACATCGAGCTTAATGCTCGCTCGTTTATGATGGGAAAATTAATTGAAACTGATGAAGGCTTTCCTTTGCGGGATGCCGCCGTCATTGACAATCTCCATAGCTGGACGTACGTATGTGGAAAGAGGTACGATACAAGAGAAATCATAAACCGTTTCTTATCTTCATTGATGTATCACGAATCAACCACAATCCACAAGCAACGGAACAGTATCAATCGGCAGTGCGTGCGTGCAGACCAGTAGCCCAGCTGTGCGGCCGCAGGTCGCAGAACATAAAATTACCCAGATACGACACAAATGCTGCATCTTAGCTACCGATGGAGATTGCGGTTTGTCTGTGGATTAAACCATCCTGCAAAAGCTGCCAAAGTAATGATCCGGGCAAAAATGGACGGATGGCTTCCCACCAATGATTACCGTCCAGCTAGATATCAGATAATAATCTCAATCGACTGGATTGATTCGAGTTAAATCAGCGGATCAATTCACTTTGAATGCGTTATGATATGTTGATACCGTATAATTGGAAGATAAAAATCTTCGTAGGTACCTTTCTCCAAGTCTTGCCCGTGCAGTGCAGTGGCGGCAACCTTGAATCGCTCCTATATAACATACGACGGCGGCTACATTTCAAGGTTAATGGGGTTTAAACTCGGTGAACTTTTTTTTAACTTAGCTTTCCGTGCAAAGAGAGAGAGCTTTAAAATTTATACAGCCATTTAACCCCGCTCGGGTGCGGTCCAAGTACGGTATCGTCGCCGGCCGTCAGTCGGGAATTAAAAGCAAACAACAGTTGGCCCTTATCAACGAACTTGCTTTGCGTTCTATGACTCTTGCCAGTAGTTCGTGAAGTATGAATTGGTTCGGTGAGTAAATTCTGTGCATATGGAGGGTTTTAATGGCGCATCGTAAACCAGGCGTCTAGCCAGTAACGCTTTGGGATGTTTCGTTGAAGCAACGCAGTAAATGGGTATTCGTATTTGTTGTTTTTTTTTTTATTTGAAAAACAATGTGAAAATTGTTACGAGATGGCTTTGCGATGGAACCAAAATTAAAGGTACCCAACATATGAAGGACTGAATTTTTAATCTAAAATCAACTTGTTTGTGCAAAACTTCGACGTAATTTATTAGATGTAAACTAATGAGGCTCTTAAACCAGAACCGTAATAACCGATTTTTTGTTTCATTTCTTTCCAGGAAAACAGTTCACTTATTTACACGTAGAACAAAGTACAACTCTTAGTGTTACTTTAAGCAATAGAAGCAGTACGTAGAGTTAGGTGAGTCAAAGTTATTAAATAAATAAACACCAATTAATCGATGGTTGCCGTGCTTATTGTCCATCAGATGTCACGAGTGCTGTTAATGGTGGCATCTATCGGAAATTACTCCTAAACTGTTTTCCGTTACTTATTAACACAGGACAGTGCAGTAAACAACCCTAGAAATCCCTTTCACAAACTTTAACATGGAGTACCTGATACTGCAAACATGTTTGTTACGTCTATAGTCCTTCTTTTTAAGCATATTCAAAGCAAAAGAAATACGTCCTAAGCCCCGCCCCAATCAAAGAAAAGGCGGGAAATCATGTTAGGGGTGGGGCTTTGGAAGCATTTTTGTGTGGAGAATGCTTAAAAGGAAGGGACTTCGGATGTGAATCTAAATGCATAAATAAGGGTACCGGCAATTTTTCAGTGTCAAGTACTCTATTCTGAAGTCTGTGAAAGGGAAATCATACATCGTGTGTCATCAAACTACATGTAATGTTGAGAGATTGATCTCGTAAGCGAGAGAATTTAATGAACGGTGAGCGATGAATGAGCCATGAACGATGACTGATCCATTTGGCTTGTATACAGTATGCAAAAAAAGTTTATCCACCCCCTACCAATTTACAATTGTTTTTGTTTTTCTGGTGAAAATCAGTTTAATTTTATAAGTGTTCCTCCATGATTTATCAATTTATGTTTATTTATCACATTGCCATTGAAAATACGGCGTTTATATCTTTTCTTTAGATTTCATGTGATAAATTATGAAAAATGGTGAAAAATTACGCCAAAAAAGTTTATCCACCCCCAAACGGATACTATGATTTAAGTGTGTTTTACAGAGTTTTAGTGTGTATTCTGCAACTTTATCGAATGTAAACATTTTGCCTATCTGTCATTTAGTGCTCTTGAAGTTTTCGTGCTCAAAATTTCAGTTTTGTGTTCAAAATTGGAAGTTATTTGTTTCAAAATGCCCAAAAAAGACCAAATTTCGATCAGTATCCGAAATTTGATTATTGAACATCACAAAACTGGCAAAAGCTAGCGTGATATTGCTGATATTGTCAAGCTTCACAAAGATACGGTCGCTAGAATTGTGCAGATGTGCAAAAAGCATGGTTTTATCTCGCCAGCTAAGCGATCGGGGCGTCCTTCAAAGACAACTGACCGAATTGACAGAGCTATCGTGAAGAAGGCGGAGCTGGACCGGGGACTATCAGCTCCGAAAATTGCGAAACAGATTGAAAGCGAGTTTTCCATTCAATTGACATCACAATCGGTACGAAATCGTCTTCATACGAACAGTCTTAATGGCAAAGTAGCTCTTAAGAAGCCATGGTTGTCCGCAAAAAAATTTTAAAAAAAGATTGAAGTGGGCCCAGGACCACATTTCATGGACCAGTGATGACTGAAATAAGGTAATCTGGTCAGACGAGACGAAAGTAATGCTCTTTGGGTCACCATTGATACCATCAGACCATACCATCAGATACCATAAAATTTTGGTCCATGAAATGTGGTCCTGGGCCCACTTCAATCTTTTTTTGATATATATTGCGGACAACCATGGCTTCTTAAGAGCTACTCTGCCCTTAAGAATTTTCTTATGAAGACGATTTCGTACGGATTGTGATGTCAGTTGAATGGAAAACTCACTTTCAATCTGTTTCGCAATTTTCGGAGCTGATAGTCCCCGGTCCAGCTCCGCCTTCTTCACGATAGCTCTGTCAATTCGGTCAGTTGTCTTTAAAGGACGCCCCGATCGCTTAGCTGGCGAGATAGAACCACGCTTTTTGTACATTTGCACAATTCTAGCGACCGTATCTTTGTGAAGCTGGATAATATCAGCAATATCACGCTAGCTTTTGTCAGTTTTGTGATGTTCAATAATGAAATTTCGGATACTGATCGAAATTTGGTCTTTTTTGGGCATTTTGAAACAAATAACTTCCAATTTTGAACACAAAACTGAAATTTTGAGCACGAAAACTTCAAGAGCACTAAATGACAGATAGGCACAATGTTTACATTCGATAAAGTTGCAGAATACACACTAAAACTCTGTAAAACACACTTAAATCATAGTATCCGTTTGGGGGTGGATAAACTTTTTTTGCGTAATTTTTCACCATTTTTCATAATTTATCACATGAAATCTCAAGAAAAGATATAAACGCCGTATTTTCAATGGCAATGTGATAAATAAACATAAATTGATAAATCATGGAGGAACACTCATAAAATTAAACTGAATTTCACCAGAAAAACAAAAATAAATTGTAAATTGGTAAGGGGTGGATAAACTTTTTTTGCATACTGTATATTTCCTATAGAATCCTATTGAATTCCGTCCCGATCGGACGTTTGTTTTCCGGAGATATGACCAAAATAGTTATATTTTGAGAATAATCATACTCACTGACCTTTCTCAGAACCCTATTGAATTTCATTCCGATCGAACGTTTTGTACAACTTCAGTCCAAATGACACTTAATTGTTTTGTCGCAACAATAAAAGAGGTAACTCAAATGAACCTCAATTATTGCGACACTGCATATCTGCCCAGTATGGGCAGGTACAGCATTCAAGAAGATGGTTTCGTGATTGCCAAAATTAACGGAATATTCATATGCAGTTGCTACGCATCCGATGGACGATGGAGCAGTTCCACGAAAATCTGGTTGGACTTACCGAAGAGCTGATCGGACGAAGACCGGTAGTCATCGGAGGAGCCTTCAATGCTTAGGCAGTGGAGTGGGGAAACAGATGTACCAACCAGTGGTGGCACGAGTCCTGGAGTTTAACATTTTTTCCTTAACATTTGATACTTTTTGCGATAACCATTTTGACGACACACAAAAACAAACTGGCAAGCGGCAAAAATGTCATGACATTTCTAAACTGTTTTCTGCCAGCGACAGAACATTTTCGCACAAAGAAGCAGACAAGACCGGCGGCGCGCGCGACATAAATTTATGTCGTGTAGAATTTTGCTGATTTCTGGCTAATTACTGCATTTATTTGATGTTTATTGCATGGAATTAAAAGATAAGAATGAAGACTGACCACTCATAAGCATTGATGTTAAAATTATGCGTAAATAAGGGAGTTGGTAATTTACTGTCACACGCAAGCCTGCAGCTAAAATTTCATTACAATAAACTGTTTGGTAAAATCAGGCTGCGAGATTTTATTTATTCTCTATCTCCGCTGTTCGCTTTGAATGTAGTTATAAACGGCCGCCCGTGTGCTGGCTGTTTTGTTTCGCTCTGGACGATGGTTTTTCAAAAAATGTACTGTTGCCACCTCTGGTACCAACGCAAAAGGGCACATTCTGCTGGATGCTCTGGCGCAGAGATGTCCGGGAATCCATTATCGACGTCACTTTATGCGGACTGCAGTCCGTCGCTGGCGGAAAACATGAATTGGAGAGTGTGTGAAGGATATACCCATAATGACCATCAGGCAATTCGATATGGCATCGGCCAACGGAATCCTGTGGCAGTACAGAGGACGATAACTTGCGACCTGAAGTGGAAAAAGAGTTGCCAGAATCGTTAGGGAGATCATGTGACACGACCATGCCGAGGAAACTGGAGCTAAATAACAGACAGCCTCCAGCTTACTGCTGCAACGAGGCAATTAGCACCCTCCGCGCTAGTTGTCTCAGAACCAGAAGACGTGTTCAGAGAGCAAGAACAGAAGCAGACAGAGAGGAACGCAGAGGAATGTTCCGAGCACATAAACGAGATATAAAGCAGAGCAAGTCAAACTGTCAACTGGAGCTGGGTCGAGACGCTGCTGTCAACGACGCACACCGTGTCGTGATGACGAAGATCAGATGTCAAGTCATGCCCGCTGAAATGTGCTTAGAGAACCTGAAAGTCATCGCGGAAGGACTTTTCTCGAAGCACGATCCAACGACCTGGCCGTACGGAGACGGAGAGGGAGATAACGACGAAGTCACCAACGAGCAACTCGTAGCAGTGCCTGCTGGATACACTCAAAAAACTCTTGGAGAGGATCATCCTAAACAGGCTGACGAAATGCACGGAGAGTGAGCAAGCATTGTTGGAGAGGCAGTTCGGATTTCGAAAAGGAAGAGCAAAAGTGTATGCAATTCGGACAGTTGTCGAGAGAGCCGAGAAGGCGTCGAAACAGAAGTGGAGAGGAGATCGATATTACGCCGTGATAACGATCGACGTTAAGAATGCGTTCAACAGCTGGGAGGCCGACGCTACTTCCAGAATCTACGAGCCAAATATGGGACAGAGATCGATTAGGATCACGGTGGGAGTTCCACAAGGCTCCATCCTTGGTCCAAGGCTCTGGAACGCTGAAGCTACCCAAACGAGTTGAGATCGTTCGCTTTGCGGACGACGTCGTCTTACGGTAACAGGCAAGACGCTAGAATAGATGGAAATGTTGGCGACCGAGGCGATCGACATGATTGGAAGCCTAATGCATGGAGCGAAGCTGCAGATAGCCCACAACAAAGGCGAGGTGGTATTGATCAGTAACTTAAAAGCTCTGCAGCGGTCAGAAACTACCATTGGGGAGCACGCAATAAACTAGAAGTGCGTGTTGAAATGCCTGGGAGTGATGGTCGACGACCGTTTGGCTTCAATAGCCACGTAGAATACGCTTACGAGAAGGTAGCTAGAATCATACCGAACATCTAGGGACCAAGTAGTAGCAAGAGACGGCTACTGGCTAGAATATTTAAGTTGATACTGAGATATGGAGGTTCAACGTTGGTTGCAGCACTGAAAACCAAGCGGAATTTAAGGAAACCGAACAGTACGAACTGGCTCAACGACCGTACGCAAATTTTTCGAGACGTTTGGTGTGCCCTTTGTTGTAAGAATAGTGAACAGATATCAGTAATTCCATTATTAGTGTATAAATAATGGTTAAACTTGATTTCAAAATCATTTTGATGGTTAAAATATTGAAAACAGAAAATTTCCCGATTTTGTCCGCTTCCCGTTTTGGTCAGCCTAAAATTT